TTACTCTTTTTCCTGTCCACATCACTCATTAAATCCTAAAAAACACATTATACAACGTTAAAAATTAAATTGAAAGTTTTAATAAAAATATAAAACTATTTAGGATTTGATATTTATTAGTTTATTTATTTAAATTTAATAATTTATTGTCAATTAATATAGAATTTTTTTAAAAAATTTAAAAAATTGTATCGTACTACTCTATATAATAGAATAATTGCGTAAAAATAGAGTAATTATGGAGATCGTAATTTAAACACATTATTTTAACCTTCTACACAAACGTACTAGACACGTCATCTCCCCATCCAACACCTACACCGCACCGACGGTCCCCAACCCTCCACCCCCCTAAGACCACCGTACCCATCTTTCTCTTACTCCCTCTTTTCTTCTCCTTTTCCTAAATCTATATAACTTAAAAACAAAGTAACTCTACCTTTAACCAAAACTTCAAAAAACCCTATAACCTTTTTTATAAAACTTTCCAAACTCTTTAAAAGTTTCTTTTTACCAAAATTTTTTTTCCAAAAACCCCTTTTTTTTTTTTCCCCAAAAAATCCCTTTTTTTTGCGGTTTTAAAACCTTTCCCTTAAATCGTTAAAAATAAACTTAAACTTTTAGGGTCTTAAAATTTAAAATCTTTTAAAAAGGTAAACTTAAAACCCGNNTTAACGGTTTTCGTTTTGTCCGGTTCTTGTTTAAGTTNNTTCCAGCTTAAGTTTTCCAGTTATAAAATAAAAACTTAAGCAGTTTCCAGCTTAAGTTTTCTAGTTATACAATAAAAACTTAAGCTCTAGAGCTGAAGTTTTCCAGTTATAAAACAAAAACTTCAGCTCTTTCCAGTTATAAAATAAAAACTTCAGCTCTAGTTTTCCAGTTATAAAATAAAAACTTCAAGTTTTTGTGTTGTAACTGAAAAAATTCAGCTCTAGAGCTGAAGTTTTTGTGTTGTAACTGGAAAACTTCAGCTCTAAAGCTGAAGTTTGCCAGTTATAAAATAAAAACTTCAGCTAGATTCCTAGTAATAAAATAAAAACTTCAGCTCTAGAGCTGAAGTTTTTGTTTAGTAACCCGGAAACTTCAGCTATCTCAGTTATAAAGGGAAGCTGAAGTTTTTTAAAAAGTGGGTACAGATGCAGACAAAAAGATAAAGCGGCTACAGGTTAAAGAGGGGCGCCCAAATAGGGCGCCCCGTGCAATTTTTACGAAACCAATTGGTACAGATTTGGTGGACTTTCTGGAATTGTTTCTTTGCAGATTTTCCATCTTCGGCACCTCTGCTATTGAGATTGCAATTATCTCTTTCTTGTTTCCTTTCTCTTGTATTATTTCTTTTCATTTTTTCGTTTTTGTCATAAGCTAAAGTCTAGTTTTTAGATGGGAATAGTTTTTTATGATGGATCCTTTTTTCTATTTTTTCCCTTAAGCTAGTCTTTTTTTATGTTTTTCATAATTGTTTAATTTATTTAAATAAAAAAATTAAAATAAGAAAATGTTCCGTGCATTTCATCTGAATTTCAAAGGGAGCAATGTTGATTTGGCTGGTTGTTTATCAAGGGAAAAGAGGATACAAGAAAAAGAATGTGATAGAAGCACTGTGGGTGATCAAACCAGAAGCATTGATTGAAGATAATCTACACTTAGTGGCGTTTGGACATAAGAATCGTAAAATTCCGAAAAAAAGTGATTTTTTTTTCAAGTGAAAATGGTATTTGAAAATTAGAGTAGTGTTTGTGCATGAATATAATTTTGGGTTGTTTTTGAACTTTTGTGAGTGATCTAAGTGAAAATTTTGAAAAATAACTTTTTGGAGTTTTTCAAATTTTCGAAAAATTCCAATATTCATCTTCAAGTGAAAACTGAAAATTTTATGGCCAAACACTGATTTCGAAAAAAGCAAAAAAAATCAAAATAAAATAAAATAAAAATTCATGGCCAAACGAGCTCACTGTTGAAGATAATCTACACTTATATCACTCACCCTGCTATTAGAGAGACTCACTTTTGTGTTAACTTTTATGTGGTTATGGCTATTCAGTCGAATTGCCTCTCTGCCTTTAAAGAGTAGGGGTAAGGTTGCGTACACGCTACCCTCCCCATATCGCACATATGGGATTAAGCTGGGTTTGTTGTTGTTGTTAGCCATTCAGTCGAACGATCATGGAACATGGAATTACAAATTAGTTGAACTGAAACACCACAGAAAGTCTATTTCGGACTTAAAACGACAATAATAGAAGTGTCTCTTTCTGGGTGTAACAGAGCCGGTGGGGAGGGAATATGTTAAGATTAATTATATCTATTTTTTCATTAGCCTATGTCATTAGCTAGTTAGTTAGCTTAGTGGTTAGTTAGGAATAGTTACAGTCGTCAGTTAGTTAGTTGCTAGTTGCTTTGTTATTACATCCGTGTATATAGTGGGAGCTCCACTCAATTTCTCAGTTGAATGAATTGAACAAATCATTTTTCTAGAATGTTCATATCTCTCTCTCTCTCTCTCTCTCTCTATCTATCTATCTATCTATCTATCTATCTATCTTCTTCTTCTTCTTCGAGCTTCTCTATGTTTCATGGCGTGAGAGCTAAGCTCTTCCACCATTGAAGTTCGATCTGTCCATAGCTCAGTTGAGGTCCAAATCACTGTTCCATTGCTGGATTTTGATATGGTATCAGAGCGAGGCCACAGGTTCTGATTCATTCCTCTAAATTTGTTAGATCTAAATCCATTAGTCTCGATTTCAATTTGATCGCATGAAAAAAAAATTTGATCGCACACATGCAAACTCTCTTCTCATCGATTTCTAAGTCATAGCCTTTGGAATTCTCTGTCAGAGTCATAAATCTGTAGTTACAACCCTCTATTGTTTAATTATCTGAAATTTGCACGTTATAATGGTTACCGTCAGAGACGATGAGCAGTCTATACCGACAATGACTGAATCTCCTAATCAGCCAACTATTGACACTAGTAGTCCTTTTTACATGCATCTGTCTGCTAATCCGGGAGCAGCATTAGTTCCTGTTCCATTTGATGGTTTTGGTTATGGTTCATGGAGAAGAGGTGTGATGAGAGCCCTATCAGTGAAGAATAAACTAGGCTTCATCAATGGGGATTGCAAAAGATCAGAACCAGACTCCTCAAACTATCGGGTTGTGGAAAGAGCTTGAAGATCGATATGATCAAACTAATGGAACAAAATTGTACCTGATCCAAAAGGAGATCAATGATTTGTCCCAAGGAGCCCTTGATATTACTAGTTATTACACTAAAATGAAGAAGTTGTGGGAGGAACTCACCACTTTGATCGCTAGATCTCAATGTACCTGCAATTGCACATGTGGAGTTAAGGAAAGTATGCACAAAGCAGAACATGACAGGAGGTTAATACAATTCCTTATGGGACTGAATGAAACGTGTACTGCGGTTCGAGGTAGTATCCTCATGATGAATCCTCTTCGTACAATTGCACAAGCTTTTTCATTACTGATTCAAGAGGAAAGACAGAGAGAAATCAAACCTCATAACCACTTGGTTGTTGAGTCATCAGCCCTAAATGTTAACACAAGCAAGACAGGATTGTTCAAAACAAATTATTCTCCCAACAACACTCACAACAACAGGAACAGACCTTTCTGTGACTATTGCAAAAGACCAGAGCACACAAAAGAAAAGTGTTACAAACTCCATGACTATCCTCAAGGTTTCAATCAAAATTAGAATCCAAATACAAGTCACAATCAAGCTTCCAATTTCAGTCAGAGTCCAAGACAAAACTTTAACTATGGGAATAATCCCAATGTGAACCAGAATACCAGGTTCAATAGAGGAAATAGAGGAATCGCTAATGCATATGTAGCAGCCACAGATGCTCAACATGCTGATAATGAGAACTGCACTGCTCAAAATGTAAGCCTCACCAAGGAAGAATATAGTCGGCTAGTGAACCTGCTGCAATTTCAATCAGGAGGAGGAAGAGACTGCACAAACAATGCCAACATTCCATCTGGAGCAGCAAACTTTGCAGGTATCATAGCTTGCACTTCCTCTATTGACTTTGGTAAACTCTCATGTGAATGTTTCAAAAACAAAACTGACTCATGGATTGTAGATTCAGGGGCATCAAACAACATGACCTTTAACAGATCCTTGTTAACCAACATAGTAACTTTACATTATCCTTTACTTGTCATACTTCCAAATGGTTATAAAGTGAAGGTGACCGAGATTGGTAATGTTGTACTTACTCCCAAGATCACTTTAAATAGGGTGATGCTTGTTCCTTCCTTTATATACAATTTGATCTCCGTTCACTCCTTGACCTCTCATCTCAGTTGTCTTGTTGCCTTCATTAAGCACTGTTGCATACTGCAGACCCCTTCAATGAAGAGGCCTCTGGTGATTGGTAGAGTCAAGGATGGGCTGTACATCTTGTGCCCAAACTGCTTGAAGAACAACAGTGCAAACCTTGGATTAAAGACCACTGATTACTTGTCCACCCTCATCACTTGCTGCACTTGTAACACACAATGTCCGTCTCATTCTGTTGTAGATATGACATTACATGTCAATAAGTGTGTTCCTTCTTATCCAATTGTAAATAGTTCAAGTGCAAGTACTGAAGAACAATTTTCTCTTGTGAATTCATCCTCTAAAACTTCTAGTACATTTTCTCATTTGTGTGTTGGAGACAGTGTAGATGTTCTATGGCATAATAGACTTGGACATGTTCTCTTTGTAAAGATGAAAAACATTTCCTCCATTCCTGTGACCTTTTCTTCCAAACAACCCTTCAATTGCACCATTTGTCCAATGGCCAGATAGGAAAGGCTCCCATTCCCCCAGAAAACCAACGCAACCAGTAAAACTTTTGAACTCTTACATGTTGATTTGTGGGGACCATACCATGTGCCCACACATGACAAATACACGTACTTCATGACTATTGTGGATGATTTCAGTAGGTCCACTAGGACTCACCTTCTATCTAGTAAAAGCAATGTCCTCCAGGTACTTAAGGGATTCATTAGTTTGGTGGAAAATCAGTTTGGAGTAACAGTAAAAGCTATGAGAACAGATAATGGACTAGAGTTCACCAATACAGAAGCAAACATGCCAATCCAATCTAAGGGTATCATCCACCAAAGAACTTGTCCTTACACCCCACATAGAATGGTGTGGTGGAAAGAAAACACAAGTCTCTCCTTGAAACTGCCAGAGCACTCCTTTTTCAATCCAAACTGCCCCTAAGCTACTGGGGTGAATGTGTACTTTGTGACACCTATATCATAAACAGACTCCCTTCCACCTCTATTAATAACCAGACTCCATATGAACTGTTCCATAAAAGGAAGCCAAAGTATTCTCACCTAAAGAGATTTGGTTGCCTGTGCTACCCTACTGTACCCAAACCACATAGGGACAAGTTTGAGCCCAGAATAACACCACACGTATTTGTTGGCTACCCTTTCAGCACAAAGGGATATAAGGTTTTTAAGTCTAGCCACTAGAAAAATCACTGTCTCCATAGATGTAGTCTTTAATGAGTCCATTTTTTCATTTGCAGCCAATATGAATGCATCTTCCTAACCATGTGTTCCTCATTCAATTCCTTTTATTGAGCCTCTACGTGAGCAATCTTCTGACAACACAAATATCACACAACAAACATCTGAAGCTCTGAGTGATCAAAAGAGTAATGCTGACAGCACAACCAATCTTATATCACCCGCACATGATAACTCCTCATCATGTTCTATGATGCCTAATTCTCCAATACCCTTTCACCATAGGATCACATTGAACAACCCATTGTAGAACCCATACAGCTGAGATAGTCCTTAAGGACACATAAAGCACCTAGTTATTTACAAGACTATGTGCATTCTCTACCTAAGGACACATAAAGCACCTAAACTTAAACCAAATCCTAATTCTCTTAATGCCTTGTTTTCTATGAACCACCATGTTGCCTCTGATCTATTAACTCCTGATAGTCAGGTTCTTGTGAGAAATATTTGTCATGACAGGGAACCATCATCATATGAGGAGGCAGCTATTGATCCTGCATGGCAAGCTGCAATGACACAAGAATTTGAAGATCTATACTCTAATCACACTTGGGACTTAGTACCTCTACCACCTAGGAAGCAAGCAATAAGGTGCAAATGGGTTTACAAGGTAAAGCATAAAGCTGATGGTAGTATAGAAAGATTCAAAGCTAGGTTGGTTGTCAAAGGCTACACTTAGCAGGCAGGAATTGACTACACAGAAACATTCTCACCAGTAGTGAAAATGACAACAGTAAGAGCACTGGTAACTACTGCAGTGAAGAAACGGTGGTGTTATCTCAGCTAGATGTGAACAATGCCTTCCTTCATGGGGATCTTAATGAGGAAGTGTATATGCAAGTTCCACCTGGACTTGTTGTGGATAAGCCAGGACTGGTTTTCAAGCTAAACAAGTCCCTCTATGGCCTAAAACAGGCCAGTCTACAGTGGTATGCAAAATTGGCTGAGGCTTTATATTCAAAAGGATATACACATTCCATGAATGACAACTCACTTTTCTATAAGAGAAATGGAAAATTCTGAGTATATGTTGCAGTATATGTAGATGATGTGTTGCTTACTGGGACTAATCAGGAAGAGATCATACAATTGAAGGCCTTCCTGCATGAGCAGTTTAGGATCAAAGATCTGGGCCAACTGCATTACTTCCTAGGCCTGGAGGTGATGTACAAAGATGATGGTGTCATAATCTCTCAAAGGAAATTTGTATTGGACATGCTGAAAGAGTACAATTGCCTAGATTACAAGCCTTGTTCCTCACCCTTAGAACCTACCATAAAGCTAAAGGCCAAAGAAGGTACCATCCTACAAGATCCTACTTACTATAGAAAGTTGGTGGGGAAACTAAATTTTCTAACCAATACTAGGCTGGACATTGCATATAGTGTCCAACATTTAAGTCAGTTCATGCAAGAGCCCAGAGAACCTCATTTGAAGGCAACATTCCATCTACTCAGGTACTTGAGAAATGATCCTACTTTGGGAATCTTCATGTCTAAAGATGCAGACTGCACAGTCAAAGCCTACTGTGACTCTGACTGGGCCTGCCCAGGCTCCAGGAGATCTATTACGGGTTATTTGGTACTTCTGGGCAACAGCCCTATCAGCTGGAAGTCTAAGAAACTTGAAACTATATCACTGTCTTCTGCAGAAGTAGAGTATAGGGCCTTAAGGAAAGTAGTGAGGGAATTGGTATGGTTGAGCAGACTATTTGAAGAACTAATTGTCCCCTTTTCAATACCTATTTCAGTATTCTGTCACAGCCAATATGCACTTCACATTGCCAAAAACCCAGTCTTACATGAAAGAACCAAACACATAGAAGTGGACTGTCACTTTGTGCATAATCAATTACAAGCAAGACTAGTTTCACTTCACCATATTAGGACAAACAGTCGGCTGGCCGACACTCTGACTAAAGCTTTAACTGGAATCAAATATAGTGCCACAGTGGGCAAGTTGGATGTGTTTACCACACCTCCAACTTGGAGGGGGGGGGGGGGGGTTTTAAGATTAATTATATATATTCTTTCATTAGCCTATGTCATTAGCTAGTTAGTTAGCTTAGTGGTTAGTTAGGAATAGTGACAATTGTCGGCTAGTTAGTTGCTAGTTGCTTTGTTATTACATCTGTGTATATAGTGGGAGCTCCACTCAATTTCTCAGTTGAATGAATTGAACAAATCATTTTTCTAGAATGTTCATCTCTCTCTCTCTATCTTCTTCTTCGAGCTTCTCTGTGTTTCATGGCGTGAGAGCTTAGCTCTTCCACCAATTGAAGTTCGATCTGTCTATAGCTCAGCTGAGGTCCAAATCATTGTTCCATTGCCGGATTTTGATGGGTTCTTTTATACTAGTTTACCAGACTTTATAGCATAGATGTCAATTTCGATCAATAAACAAAATGCATTGCAACGAGCAATTATTGATTTACTTAGTAACACGTTGATAACATCATTTATGAATTTCGGGGGTTGTGATGTAGAGATGGTGAAATGAATAAAATATGTAAGTATCCGTTCATATTAGAAAAATGATATTGTACAGTCGCTCTCAAATTAATAATCGAATATATATATATATATATATATATATACATATTCTGTATGTTATATACAAAAATCATATAAATTTTAAATACTTTTTTGGCTACCAAATGTAAATAGTTTCTAGCGCGGGCTAAAAGTAATAATACCCCAATCCCCATATTAGAAAAAATAAGTTGAATACCCGATCTACTAAAAACGGGTCAAGTATGAATCAACCCATATTATAGCTAAAAAAATGTATAACCCCCGGGTCGAAAACAAATTTCACTAATTGATGACCCAATTGGTACAGACTTGGTGGATTTTCTGGAATTGTTTCTTTGAAGATTCTTCTGTTAACATTGTAATTGAACAAAATTGACGAGATTAAGCTAGGGTTGCACTTTGAAGAGAGAAGACAGAGAAAGAGAGAAGATTAGACTTCCATTCATCTGATTAAGAAAATTCTAGAGTATATATACACACACACACACACATACATATATATATATATATATATATATATGTATATATAAGGGGCAAAATAGTCTAATTCTATCAACTAACCGGGCTAATATAAATACAATTATTGGGCTGACTTCGGCCCAAATCTGTTCTATAGGTCTATGGCCCAATGTTGTATTAATGCTGTATTTTTATGTAACTCCAACACCTCCCTCCCCCCCCCCCCCCCCCAAGTTGGAGGGTGAGGTCACACCCAACTTGCCAAGCAACAAATGATGTTGTCCACCTGTCAAACACTTGGTAAAAGTGTCAGCCAATTGAGAAGTAGTGCAGATATGATGTAAAGAAATTAGGCCGTCAGCTAACTTTGTCCTTATGAAATGGCAGTCCACTTCGATGTGTTTAGTACGTTCGTGAATCACGGGATTTTTCGCAATATGCAAGGCAGCCAGATTATCACAATATACAGGAACAGGAGACATAGAAGGAATTCCCAAATCAGTGAGCAACAGACCAACCAAACCAATTCAGCCACAACCTTACTCATGGCCCGATACTCAGCCTCAGCAGAGGATAATGAAACAACAGTCTGTTTCTTAGATTTTCAACTTATTAAACTTCCACCCAGAGTTATGCAAAAACCAGAAACAGACCTATGAGACTCAGAACACGCAGCCCAATCAAGCAAAGAAAAATCAGAAGAGGTATTAAGAGAAACCCCAAAATCAGGAGTGCCTTTCAAATATCTCAAAATGTGAAGAGCAACATTCATACGAGGCACCGTAGGACACTTGAGAAACTGGCTTAAGTGTTGTACAGCAAAACACAAATCAGGTCTAGTATGGGTGAGAAAGTTAATTTTACCAACTAAACTCCTATAAGTGTCAGGCCTAGGCAATAACTCCCCAGCATCAGATTTCAGCTTGACACCCAATTCTAGAGGAGAAACCATAGCAGAAGCAGAATCACAACCAAATTCACGAAGCAAATCAGCAATAAACTTCCGTTGATGAAGAATAACCCCAGAATTATCATAGAAAACTTCAATCCTAAGAAAATAATTGAGTAGACCCAAATCTTTGATTTTAAATTGGTCGTTAATGAACTCCTTAAGGGCGGAAATTTCAGTAAGATCATCACCCGTAAGAATAATATCATCCACATAAACAGCAAGGAAAACAGTGGAATTGACAGATTTCTTGATGAAGAGAGAGTAATCATTTAGAGAAGAAACATAACCTCTAGAGCAAAGTGCAGCGGATAACTTGGCATACCACTAATGAGATGCTTGTCTTAAACCATAAAGGGATTTTTGAAGCTTGCAAACCAAAATAGAAGAGGGCTGAACAGTGGAAGTAACAGTAAGACCTGGAGGTAGTTTCATGTACACCTCCTCATCTAGATCACCATAAAGAAATGCATTGTTAACATCTAATTGAAAGAGAGACCACCCTTTCTTGACAGCAAAAGCCACAAGACACCGGATGGTGCACATCTTGACAACCGGGGAAAATGTTTCATGAAAATCAATCCCTTCAATTTGTGTATCACCCCGTACCACCAATCTAGCCTTATACCTCTCCACACTACCATCAGCTTTATGTTTAATTTTATACACCCATTTACAACCTATTGGCTTCTTGCCTTTAGGTAGCTCAACTATTGTCCAAGTCTTATTAGCTTCTAAAACATCAAACTCTTGCCTCATTGCCTCCTGCCAAGTAGGGCTGGCAGATGCCTGAGTATAACAATGAGGCTCAGTTGCTGTTGATTGGGCAGCAGAAAATGATGTAGAAGTAGAGCCCGAAAGGGAAGGAGGAAGTTGTGTTACAAAATCATTAAGATGAGAAGGTAGAGTGTGAGTCCTGCTGCTCCTTCTAACTTCAGGAGGAGGGACAGAACATAAGTTAGAAGGTGCAGGAATAGTACAAGAAATAGGAGGATCTGGAGATGCAATGGGTGAAGGAGGAACAGAACAAGGAAATGAAGAAGTTGAAGTTTCAGATTGGAAAAGATAATAATCATCATTAGGAACAGGAGGTATTGGAACAGAAAGTGTAGGGGAAGGAGAAGATAAGAGGAATGGAAAAATTGACTCATGCAAGACCACAACTCTGGATACAAACACATTTCTAGTGGAGAGATTGTACAATTTATACCCTTTCTTACCAAATGGATAACCAACAAGCACACAAGGGGCTGCTCTAGGATCTAGTTTGTCTCTGTTGCACTTGGGGATAATAGCATAACATAGACAACCAAATGGCTTCAAATGTGTATAGGAAGGTGATTTGCCATATAAAACTTCAAAAGGAGTTTTATTGTGTAAAACAGTTGAAGGAAATCTATTTATTAGGTATGTAGCAGTCAAAATACAATCTCCCCAGAATTTTGTTGGGAGTTTTGATTGAAATAATAATGCTCTTGCTGTTTCTAGCAGGTGTTTGTGTTTTCTCTCAACTACACCATTCTGCTGGGGTGTATGTAGACAAGATGTTTGGTGGATAATACCATTTTCATAGAAGTATTGTAAAGCAGAATTGGAGAGGCCTATTTCTAAGGCATTGTCACTCCTTACAGTCTTAACATGAAGATTGAATTGGGTTTTGATCATAGCTATGAAGGCTTTAAACAAAGAAAAAGCATTACTTTTAGAATGCATCAAATGCTACTATGATCATCCACAATGGTAAGGAAATATCTATCTCCAGAATATGTTTGTGTGTGATATGGTCCCCATGTGTCAACATGAATCAAATCAAACAAGGAATTAGAAATAGAAGTGCTATGAGAAAAAGGCAATCTGTTTTGCCTTGCTAATGGGCAAACAGGACATGTAAAGGATTGTTTAGAAGATAAATCAACAGATATAGAAGGAATGAGCTTCATTTTAGCAAAAGGAATATGTCCCAACCTATGGTGCCACAGTACATCATGTTTATTTATACTATGCACATCATCAGGAGGAACTAAAGGAATAGAATTCAAAGCACTTTTATTTTGTACAACTTTGTTAATGGAAACATCAGAAACATTCTTAGAGTGTTCATTCTTACTAAAAACAGAAACAGGGAATCCAAAACCAGGAGTAGTGTGATCCTCATGAAGAAGCTTGTAAAGTCCTTGGTCCAATTTACCAAGTTCCAGAAGCTTCCTCATGGAAAGGTCCTGTATGAGAATGCATGAACAAGAAGTAAACAGGATTAGGCACTTGAGTTGTTGAATCAATTTGTGGACAAAAATCAGATTGTAGTGAAAGGATGGAATGTATAGTACTTGATGAAGAGTCAAAGAAGGGGACAAAGTAACAGATCCTATACAAGTAACTTTTGCCTTGTATCCATTAGGTAAAGTCATTAAGTAAGGAGTAGTTAGTGGTATGATGTTAAAGAGTATATCTTTATTAGAGGTCATGTGATCAGTGGCCCCACTATCTATGATCCATACACTTCTACTAGCCCCAGACAACAAACAAGCATGAGACTCATTGTCAAAATAAACAGGCAGAGACAAAATACTACCTGCAAAATTTGTAGAACCCATCAGGTTGGACTGAGAATCAGACTCAGAACCAATTTGAGTCTGTTGCAGCAATGTCATGAGCTGTGACTATTGTTGTTTGGTTAAACCAGGAATGAGGCTTGATCATCACAGACTTGACCAGGAGTTCCATTACCAGGAGTACCATCACAAAACTGAGAAGAACCATGCTTCTGACCAGGATATGGATACCCAAACTCAGTGGACACATTTGTTGCTACCCTCTTTTCCTTATTAAATTTGAAATTCTGGGGAAACCCACGGAGTTTATAACATGTTTCAATTGTGTGACCTGATTTCTTGCAATACTTGCAGAACACATTGATTATGTACTGTCCAAAATCTATCTTTTGATTCTACTGTTTTGGAGGGAATGTCTTATTGTTCATTTTGGCAGAGAAAGAAGCAGACTCTGGAGTTAGTTGAGGACTGAAATGAACTTGTCTTTGATTCTCATCTTGAAGGAGTATGTTATATGCACTATCAAGTGAAGGAGGAGGCTGCATCATCAATAAATTACTCCTAACCCCCACATAAACCTCATTCAAACCCATAAGAAACTGATGTAGTTTATCCTCCTCCTCGTCTTTTTGAATACCTGGCTTAGCAGCACAAGTACATGAATTACCATGATTTTTACGCATGGTGCCCAACTCATCCCGAAGTTTCTTCAATTTATTAAAGTATGAAGCAATGTCAAGAGACCTTCCTGAGTTGGTGCTAATTCCTTTTTAATTTCAAAAACCTTAGTCCCATTCACAGCCCCATATCTACGCTTCAGTTGTTTTCAGATACTCTCAGCAGTTTCTGAGTCTGGACACTCTCAGCAATAACTGGTGAGAGTGA